TTCATATAGAACATTTACTTGATTAATAGATTCCCTCTCTGCTGATCAGTAACTATATTCAGAAACATTGGTTATATATGGTTAGGCCAATAGATGAATATTCATATCCTCTGTGAGGTTTGAACTCGTATCTTATGATTTGACCTATGGGACGCTAATCACTGCACTATCAATCCATAGGTCAATAGTATATTTTTATTTAGAAATTAATTAAATATCTAATATAATTATAGAGTTTTTATAATATAGTTAACTTATTTTTATATAAAAGTACTTTAAGTTCAATTAAAAAACAATCTTTAATTAGATTAGATTTATTATTATTTACTTTATTATTATTATTTTTTTTTTTAATCCATAATCATACCACAATAACTTGTCTTTATTGAGAAATTAAAACAAAATCTACAATAGTTTATAGACTTTCATAAATAGACTAACTTGTCTTTATATACAGTATAAGTACTCTAAGTCAAATTTTGAAAACAATATTATACTTCTTTGATAAATTAATAATAATATCTATCTATCAGAATTATTATCAATAGTTTGATACTATTGATTAACTTAAAAACTAATAAATTGTTAAGTTAAAAAGAAAAAAGAAAAAATTGATTTGAGGGAAGGAAACAATTTAAGGTTCATAAAAAAATTTTAAAAATAAAAATAACCTCTTCTCAAAAGAGATTTGTTTAATTGAGATAATCTTCTTAAACCTCAGAAAAAATTTTATTTTTTATCATCTGTAATATTAAATAAGTTAATTCAACTGATCCTTTATTTAAGTAAATATCAAATTGAAATATCTCAAGAAAGCATTTAGACCTTAGCTTTTTTATTAAGTTTTTGTTATTACCTAAGGAACTTAAATAAGAGATGGGAGTTTGCAATTCATATTATTCATTACTTGATTTTTTGATATCATAGAAGTCTTCATTAATGAACTTAAGTTTTTTAGAAGCAAATATTTTCAGAATATTTTTTTTAATTACCAATGATATTATCAGAATATATGTGTGTAATTGGTAGGGGCTTGTTTATATTCTAGAAACTAATATATTTTATATTAGTCAATTTACCTTTGGTAAGGATTTGTGCTATTAAAAATTTAAGGTCAAACTGAGATAGGCAAAATTTTCTAGAAAACCATGAAAGTAGAAGCTTTAAAAGGATTAGGATAGTTTAAAAGAAAGAAAGTAAGCTTTTAACTATAACAAAATTTCTGAAAACCTCTTGTTTCAAAGGTTAAAAAGGTCTTTAGGTATTTCACAATCAGTTCTTTTTTCTTTGAAAACTTTCTTATCATTGGCATCAAAGGTGTTACTTGATTTTTCTTGGTCACTAAAAGTCAAGTTTTTGATTAAAGAGGTTTGTAGACAATAAAAAAAGGTAAAGGTAACTTTTGAAATCATATTTCAAGTTGTTTTAATGAAAGTGTTAAGATTTTATTAGTAAGGAAGTGTAAAAACTTCTTGTGAACATCTTTTTTGTATGTGGTCAAAGGATCAACAGAAAGAGTTAAAAAAATTATTATTGTTATTATTATTATTATTATTTATAGTATTAGATAAATTAATATACTCTTTCCGCTGATCCTCTGCCTACACACAAAAAAGATGTTCGCAAGAAATTTTTTATTTCTTTGCTAATAAAGTCTTAACACTATCCTTAAACCAACTTAAAGTTTTACTTTAAGAGATACTCCCAAACCCTTTCTCTTGTTTATATTCGTTTTCAAACAAAAACTTGGCTTCCTGTGACCTAGAAAAGTCAAGAAACACCTTCTTTATCTACGAAAAGAAAGTTATGAAAGAAAGAAGAACTAATAGTGTAGTACTTGAAGCTTTTCATATTGAAGCATGTCTATAGAGGTTTTCTGCAGTGGAAGGTGGCAAACATCAAGCCATATTTCAAAGTGTCTGCCCACTGTTTCTTTCTTTTTATAGTCACCCAAAATTTTTTTTGATTTTCTGAGGAATTTTGCTTACCTCAATTTGACTCTGAATTTTAAGTGACACAATCTATTGCAAAATATGATTAGTGGACACGAAACACGTTAGTAGCTAAATGTAAACAAGTACCTACTGGTCACCTTACGTGTTCTGATGATGTCATTGGTGACATAGGAAAAAAAGTTCTAGAAAAAGTGTCCCTTCCAATCATGTATGTTTAACCTTCAGGAAACAATTATAATACCGAAAGGCGAGTGACAGGTACGAAAAGAAGATTCAACTCCCATCTTTCATTAAGTTCCTCAGGTGGTGAAAAGGTTTTCTTGGATAAAAGCTGAGATTTCCAAGCTTCTATTTCAGTTAGGCAAAATTCTTGAAAAGATTTCTTTATCCCGGTCAAGCAAACTCTTCCATAATATGGCACTAGCCTCAATAGCGATAAACGAATCCATACATTGAAAGAAGGATAAGTTCCTCAAATATTCTTCTTGAAGTCACTTTCAGGAATAACTAAGTTCCTCAAACATTATGAAGCTTAGAGAATATCCCAATCAGGCAAATCCCTTTTGAGAGGAAACTGTGAAATGGAGCAAGAACCTTTTGGATGGCTTTGATTTGCATTCTCCTTTTCCCTTCTCCCAGTGCCAACTTTAGCAATTCATTGTTTTTTGGGATAATCTATAGTGCCAAACTGTTGGTAATGATCCTGATAGACTTAAAGGCACTATTGCCAAACTACTAGGAGAGTGAAATATTGTCCCCTAAATCTAACTTAGAGTACCTAGTTTAGACTTAATTTTGTTTAGTTTGAACTAGCTTAGTGGACTCCTCATATTTTTTAAGAAGTCTAGTCCTTTAACTAATAATGTACAATGACGAGTTAGTCACTTTGTGAAAGTTTGTAAAATATTTAGGTATTTCTCAATATCTCAATAAAGACATGCCATTGTGGTATGATTGCGGGTTAAAAAAAAAAAAAAAAAAGTATTAGATAAATTAATTCAATTGGTTTTTATTTAAGTAAATGCTAAATTGAAATATTTCAAGAAAAGTATTTAAACTTCAACCTTAACTTTAGATTATTAAAGTTTTGTTATCATTTGAGAAATTTAAATAAAAGATAGAAATTTGCAATTCATATTATTTATTTCTTGATTTTTGATATTATAGATACTTTTATTAAAAAATTTATGTTTTGAGGAACTAACATTTTTAAAGTATTCTTTTAAATCATTAATAATATTATTAAAATATATGAGTATGATCAATAGAAGTTTGTTTATATTTCAAAAACTAATATATTTCATATTAATCAATCATTTTTGATAAGAATTAAAATTTAGGATCAAATTGAAATAAAAAAAAGTTTTAAAAAACTGTAAAATAAAAGTTTTAAAAAGATCTAGACAGTTAAAAAAAGAGAAAATAAATCTTTTTACTATAGAAAAATCTCCATAAACTTCTTGTTTCAAAGGTTAAAAAGGTTTTCAGGTATTTTATAATTAGTTTTTCTTCATTTGAAAACTTTTTTGTCATTAGTATCAAAGATATTATTTGATTTTTCTTGATTACTGGAAATAAATTTTTGAGTGAAGAGATTTATAAACAATAGAAAAAGAGTAAAGACAATTCTTAAAGCCATATTTCAAGTTGTTTTAAAGAAAGTATTAACTTTATTAGCAGAGAAGTGAAAAACTTTACATTATGTTTTTATATTAAATTACTGTATATAAAATTGATTATAATTTTTTCCAAAAAATTATGATCCGTACTGTGTTATCAATAGTTAAAATATGGTATATTTTTTATTTTTTATTGCGGCCATCTAGAAAAAATCGGGCAATACGTTTTTTGTAGCAACCACTAATTGATAAAAAAAAATCAACGAGTATTTATTGAACGCGTGCGTACAGTATATCATCCTTTTTTAATTTAGAATTTTTATCACTAATGCTAATTTATCACTAATGCTAATTAATTGATAAAATTGTTTATCATAATAGGTATTGCCTGAAATGGCCACATGCATAAACACCCATGATTTACGTAGCATGAACTTAAAATGGCCGTAAAATCGAGTTTTGTTTCTGTTTCAAACCCTCTGTTCCCCCTGTTCGGTCTGCTTTTTGTTGGAACTTTATACTATTGTTAAAACATTACAGGCCCATGCGAGTCGAAATTCTTGGGGTAAACAAAGAACGTTCGCTTCTATTTGTCGCATTCAACGCTCGGCCTCGTTGCATCTCTCGGGTAATGCGTACACATGCGCTTACGTGAATTGCGTCTGTCCAACCCCACGGCGGAATGCACCAGGGTACAAACAAACATTTAATTTTTGATAGAGAAATCACTACGTAATGATTTAATTCCCTTTCTCCAAATTTGTATCTACATCGTCGGAACAAGACGATAATCGGATCAATGTGTTCAAGAAAAGTATCTGTGCAACAGAACGTTGACTATTAATGCGCGATCAGTCAATTTGTCCGGTGACTGGACGTCCATATGTGCGTTAAAATTTTCGGCTTGCACACAAGCACAAAAAGGAAGTGGTGCATCGAAATATTAAATACCGTAGTCCAATTTTTCTGAGAACATTACTATTATGGATAATTAGCTGTGATGGTGATTGTGTATTGTTGCTACGCAAATAAAGTGAACAGGTGTACCACCTCAGAGCTAATAGAAAAATACTTTATTAGGCGGGTGTTCTTTTTTTTTTTCTTTTTGAAATAATACATATAAACGAGTTGTAGTTGTATCCCAAAGCCCACACTTTACCTCTTTTTTTTTTTATGTGAAAAATTTGTGTACATACATACACACATGTATATCTTTTTTTTTTTATTTCTTGTCTAAGACAGGTTCTCGGATGAATTCATCGGATTCCAATATAGAAATTCTCATACAAACTGAAGAAACCGGCCGGATACATTAAAAATCATATTTAATTATATCATCATTTTTCATCATTCAAAAATAGCATATACATCCAAAAATTTTTTTATAAAAAGTATAACTTTATTATTTCTCTAATTTTTCAAAAAAATGTCGTACCCATTCCCGGACACTTATGATTCCAATCACATGAAGACCACGGATAAACGTCGCTGGAGGCTCTTCGGGGATCATGGAAGGCAAGCTTGGCATTACATAGAAGACGAGGAACAATTAAAAGAGTGGCCTCAAACTAACTGTGAGAAATATTGGTTGGGACTACCATTTGAGGTAAGAGCCTGAATCTTTGATAATCGAAGAGCTCACATAGCATTTGGCCGACCGCTTAATTCGGACTAACCTTTACTCGTTACTTTCAGCACTAACCATATCTATCTCCATTCTTTTTTTTTCCTAGTCCAAAGAACATGAAAAATCGCAAGAGCATCACATTAAAGATGAGGGAATTGCCTTGACAAAAACGGCACTTGAAGCAGCACATAAAGGATTTAAATTTTACAAAGAATTGCAGACAAAGGATGGCCACTGGGCTGGAACTTATGGGGGCCCAATGTATCTCGTTTCGGCACTCATGATCGCTGTATATGTTACACACATGACATTTCCCGAAAGTTGGAGAATTGAGATTATGAGATATCTGGTCAATAAGGTTAATCCCGTTGACGGTGGATGGGGAATGCAAGTATCAACCTCATTGAGCGAACATCAGCTATCATTTTAATAAAAAGTTCGTGTCATGTGGATCTTCGAATCATTGTCAAGTAATCTTCTTTCGATTGGTGTAGGCACGTTGAAGACCGTTCGAATGTGTTGGGCACGACATTAAATTATGTGGCTCTCCGAATATTAGGGATGAATGCTGACCATCCAGTAATGGTCAGAAGCAGGAAAGCTTTGCACAAGCTCGGTAAGTTGCATGAAAATTGTGACCCCATTTTCATTGACTTGATTTATTTGACCCTTGGTTTAAATCGCGATAGGAGGAGCAACGGCAATACCCTCGATTGGAAAATTTTTGTTAGCAACAATGAATTTATATAATTGGAAAGGGGTAAATCCAATCTTACCCGAATTATGGTGAGATCCTTTTCGCTGTCGCGTAACATAACATAAGACCATTTCTAAATTAAGAAAAAAAAACCCCCCTCAAAAAGGTTGCTACCGTACAGTTTACCATTTCATCCCGCCAAAAATTCGTGTTTAACGAGAGCTGCACAGCTTCCAATGAGCTACATCTATGGTCGAAAATTTAGTCACAAGGTGACTCCGTTTATCGAGGAATTAAGAAAAGAAATCTTCATTCAACCTTACGATTCCATTAATTGGTCGAGTGTGAAAAGTAGTGTTTGTGAGGCAGATATTTATTTTCCTAGGTCAACCACTTTGAGGGTATCGAATTGTAAGTCCTTTTTTATATACTGTGCATCTATCTCTCTTGTTTTCCGTGGGAGAGTCTCGCGACTCATTTCTATGCGTGACTTAGTCCTCACGAACGCCTGGGAAATTGTTCCAAATCTAATGGGGATCCGTGAGACAGCTCTGGAAACGGTTTATAAACTTATCGTGTGCGAGGAGATTGATTCGAGTTTTATCTCTTTCGGAGCAGTGAGTAGAGTATCAATATAACACTTTGATTTTCACTCTCTGAAGAAGAAATTTATCATTTTTAATAAAAATTACAGTTTGACAAAATATTTCGACTGATATGTGTATATCATGAGGAAGGACCGGATTCCGAAGTCTTTCTTATGATGAAAAAACGGATCGTGGATTACATGTGGTACGCGTGGTTTTTGTTGCAATCCCATCACGTGACATGTAAATTGTGTCCTCTGCTGACCCGCCCAACTGCCACAGGATAACGCCTGACGGAATGTTCATGCAAAGTACAAATGGATGTCAAGTATGGGACACTTCCTTGTCTGTGCAAGCGGTGATTGAAGCAGGCCTGGCAAACGACCCGGAAAACCACGAGTCAATGATAAAGTCCTTGGAATTTCTCGAAGACTCCCAAATAGAAAGTGATCCGAATTACATGGAACAATGCTGGCGAGATTTTACCAGTGGTTTGTGGGGATACAGTACGAAAGAACAAGGATGGAGTGTTTACGGCAGTACGGCTGAAGCCTTGAAAGCCGTTTTATATCTTCAGGCTAAGTTGGAGTATGTTGCATTATTATCACGTGCGCTTTTTGGTGGCATGAAAATTCTGACGTGAAATTCTTCAACAGTTACACCCCACCACTTGTCTATCAATCTCAGATTCACTCGGCAATAGATGTGCTAATAGAAAAACAACACCCCAACGGCGGCTACTCGAATTACGAGTTGGTGCGAGGTCAATCCTGGCTGGAGTGGGCGAATCCTTCGGAAATTTTTGAGAATACAGTGGTAGAGCATACCTATGTCGAATGTACGAGTAGTGTGATGACATGCTTGAGAATTTTCTCAAAAGTTGATTTGGTTGATTACAGGGTTGACGAGATTGAGTGAGTGAACACGGTCGGGTGGCGTTGGCGTCTCTTTTGACCATCAATCTTTTTTTCTTACGAAAAATCTTTTTGTCCATTCGTTTTCACTCGAATAAAAAAGAAAGGTGATCAACAAAGCAACGAATTATATACACAATACGCAACGTAAAGATGGCAGTTGGTTTGGATCCTGGGGTATATGTTTTACCTACGCAACAATGTTTGCCCTTCAAGGACTGTCTAGCGTTGGTGAGAATTACGAAAATAGGTAAACGCCAAAAAATAAACACCCCCCCCAAAAAATGAGTGACCATAATAACTCGATATGATTTACTACAGCAAATATGTCAAGAAAGCATGCGACTTTTTAATTTCCAAACAATGCGAGGACGGGGGATGGGGTGAATCCTACAAGGTAGGTGGAATGTCTGTCGCCTTGCAGGTATAACGTAGATGCACACCACCAACTTTTTCTTCGCTCTTGTAAGTCGGCAGCAGGATCGGGAAAATATATCCAATCGCAAGGATCCCAAGTTGTAAATACAGCTTGGGCACTGCTTGGACTGATGTACGCTCAGTATCCGGTTCATGATCCTGTAAAGCGTGGAATCGATGTATGTGCGATGATTTCGACTTTATCTCGCATCTTTTTCCAACTGCTAACGGTTACCTTGTCAAAACAGTTGATAATATCACGTCAAACCCACATCGGCGAATGGAAACAGGAATCCTTCGAAGGGATAGTGGGAAAAAATTGCCCTATAAATTATTCAAACTATAAATTCATTTTTACGATTCGGGCATTGGGCTTATATTCCAAATTGTACGAGAGTGACGGTGAAGATGATGGGCTTTGGGAGTTTATATGATTTATTGTAAATGATTCGTGGCGTAAAAAGAAAAAAAAAAAATTTTTTTTAATAAGAGCATATATGATTGTTATGTTGAAAGCAATGATAATAAATAAAAAAAACAATAATCAAAACGCGTATCACATAATAAGAAAAAAAAAATTTTTTTTTTCTTAAGTCGCAAGTTTCACACAACTCGAAATTCGCATAGTGTGACATTCGGGATGTGTGACCTACGCTCAATGAGTTATTCATCATTGTACTGTATGTACGTGCACACGGAAGGAGTCGAGTACGCACGTAAGATCAAGCGTTCCACCAACGTACAAAACAGGCATTCTATTAAGCCGCTACAATTAATTTCGAAAACGGTATAAAAGTCGATTCGGTTTAGCGCCCGGATTTTCCTCACGCAACATGATGAATTCGGCGTCCAAATCAGTCGGTCGATTCTTTACGTTGGTAATTCTTTTGATAAAAGCTTATTCCTTATACAACACATCAATACCACTCCATCCGGAACCACCACCACTGCACCCGCTCCTGTTTTGTCTTATTTTCTACGGATCATTTGTTACCTTCGTGATGTTTTCGTTTAAGTCACCATCATCAGTTTCACATTTATTGATCTTAATCTCATCCTTTCTCACATTCATATTGCTACCGGTTATCTTTGGGGCAAAAAAGTATTGTCCCATCATTATCTGTCCGGTGTTCATGTTCGTCATGTACTTCGGGACCAAGATGATTATTTGGCTAATGAATTGTGGAAAACATGAATTCGCAAAGAAGGACGGGCATCACAAGCATGAGAAAGAGATACAGCCGTATGTTTGGTCATTATTTTATTGGAGACAGAGGGATACAACAAAAGGATCCCAACCTCATATTTCGTTGGACCCTCCGACCAGAGATCAAATCAAGCGGCAGTTAAACACTCACTATTCAAATTTTATGACTTACTGGTTTCTACAAATGTCCATCAATCAGATCTTAGAATTCTATCCTCCAGTACTTTCGAACACTTCCTATCCAATTCGTCTTATCAATTTTTTTCGTACGGGAACTCCTTTCATTTCTTCCTACCTCCTCCTCTATTCTTATTTCGTTATCGTGATGATCAAGTTCTCCATGGAATACCTCAGCGAACTTTTCATGACAATCTCATCTCTCATTCTGTTGCACATACTTGACAACGAAAAATCCAAAATCCCGTCATCTTGGTTGCTCTCGAGGTTAACCCCTCAACAACTGCACTCCCTGAAACAATGGCTGATCTCATTTCTTTTTCACGCAAAGCCATTGTTTAATAGCCCTCAATGGTCCCGGGGCCCCCGAGATTTCTGGTCGGTTAGATGGCATCAAATGTTGAATGGGCCGATATCGGAAATTGGTTACAAACCTGTTAGAAGATATTTTAACCGGAAAGCTTTCTTTGGCAACACGATTTCACGTAAATTAGGTGACATCTCGGGCGTTTTAATCACATTTTTCATAAGCGGTGTAATTCATGAGTACATTGTTTACGTGACTTCCGGAAACATTACCGGAGAACAACTTTCTTTTCTAGTTTTTCATGGTTTGTTGTTCATTATTTGGGAAGGCATTTTTGGCAGAGACGACGATGGCGAGAATACGAATGACGATGTGAAGAAGGGTAATGGGGAGTGGACAAGAATCTCGAAGATTCTGCTGTGGAACTTTGTGTCCCTCATTACTTTGCCATGGTTTGCCGAGGTCTATATTCGAATAGAACACCAACATTCCTATGCACATTTGATTTGCAAACGAACGCTCAGTCCAAAATAAAACGTTGAACTCTATTCGGTGACGGACTTTTATTTCATCAGTAATATAATCAGGTTTTATTATTAAGTTGAATTTTCTTTATTTATTCTAAATCATCCTTTTTCTATTTTTTTTTTTATAAAATCCTTTGTTTTTCTCTTAGTTTGTATTTTGTTTGTATTTTTTTTTAACCGCCATTTTGCTTTCATCACGTGAAAAACTTTTCACCTCATCGAGAGTGTGTATTTCCCCACTTCTGTGGAGAATCTTTTATGATCTTCCTTTCGATTCGTTTGCTGCTTCCCTTTTTCATCGACTTTTTTTCCATCTGAAAATAATATTTTTCAGGGATTTATCCCCATCATGTATCAAATTTCTCCTCATATTCATAATAGTCTTTGTGAAGCTGCTTGTAATTCTCGCGCAACCCTTAGATCCGCTGACAAAATAGTTCGAGTGCACGCATACCAATTTATCCAGAATTCCATGCACTCCGGCACTCATAAACTCCACATCGTAGTCTTCTTTTTCCCTGAACCTCTTCATCCCGTCTAAGGATGCCCATGTGTTGATCTTCACATTCGTTCTCAAGATATTCATTGCGTTGTGATGATATCGAGTAAGCTGTCTGAATGAAGCAGATTGCGATAGATTTGACAGTAAAGGATAGTCCGTGGCTAAATAAAAATTCGGTATGCCGGTGTAATTGGAAAGTTTTTTCAAGGCTTTCACCAAACCCTTTGCACATCCGGGTAATGCCTCAGGTGCAACCAGCTCCATTCTCCAATGTACTGCAATATATTCCGAACTCATTTTCTCGCGTAACATGTTTGACTCCGCTAATATGTGTTCCGCGTATGGTACCACGGGCATGACTGTTGGGAATATCGCTCTTCTGACCATATGCTTTACCAAAATAATGTCGGATTCCGAGGTGAAGGAATTTATCATGAATTCTGAAAGTCTTTTTAATGATTCTTGTCGTGCTTTGGATAACCTTGCTCTTTTACCTATGCTTATTTTTTTAAATATTATTTTCTTGATTATTTTCAGATTCCTCAGATCCAGACCTTTGGTATTGTCGAAGCCTCCGTACTTTCGATACAATCTTATGTCTGGCGTTCTATCAATACTAATCTCGTTCTCCTCGGTGGCTAAACTATCAATTATATCAAAGTGTTCAATCGAAAGTTGCAACGGACTTTTTTTCTCGGTTATTTGCAGATCAAGCTGACTTCTTTCCTCGACCCAATTGAGAAATTCCGATTGCTTAACGAATTTTACATTTGGGAATTCTTTTCTCAGTTCATCAATATTGTAATAGAATTCAAATGGAAAAGGTTTGCAAGCCTCTATACGCGAGTGACCAACGTTGGTCAACACCATGGTACGATTTAATGCATCAGCGAGTTGAGTGAAAGATCGAAAATGTTGATTGGCTTTGGTTTCTTGTTCGTCGTGAAAGTAAACGTACAGAAATTTGCAGTCAACTTGACCACAAAATTTTTTATTTATGGAAGCGACCTTGTTTTCGATACTGACGGTGGGCAGATCATGTGACGACGCATTGTTGAAGAGGGCAGTTTCTTCACTGCTTTTCGTAATCGAATATATTCTCCTGTTGTAATAGGTTCTGCCAATACCGTAACATATAATTAGATAGAGACCAATAAATAAGAATAATCTTTTTTTAATGAAAATTGCCATGATTTTGTCTTGAGACGATCGAGTTGAGATTATTCAAGACACTTGTAAAACCGATGCGAGCAGGTAACATTCTTAATTCCCTTTATATAGAACAAAAAAATTGCGTTACATAATGTAGTAAGTAGAACGCACTCATTTCATTAGTCCCAACCGTTTGAACTTAACTTTTACATTATAGATTGATTGGTTCTTTGATCTGCAGGACTAATTAAGACCATAAATAGGATATTTTATTTGGGTAATTATTTTTGAAGGCGACAAAAATGCTATACATGATTTTTCGGTCCCTACTTTTAAACAATACATACACAATGTAAATTTTAGGATCACAATTATAGTGATCGAAAAATCCCTGTCCGCCTTCGAAAAGAATTACTCATTTGTGAACTCTTGGTGACCTTTTCTGGGGTCCAAAAATTCCGTCAGCTTTCGAGCATAATATATGGGTAATTATTTTCGACGGTGGACAGGGATTTTTCAGACCCTATAATTGTGATCCTAAAATTTGCATTATATACGTATTATCAAAAATGGGGACCGAAGAAACCATGTTTAATATTTTGGTCGCCTTCAAAAATAATTGTCCATATGACGCAAACGCGTGATCATTCTCATGAGAATGAATGCAATGAAGTTGATGTAGTTTTGATGCGAATGCGCGAAACAAAATAATTAAGATGAATCGCCGCACAAAATCAACGATTGTTAATCATAATGAACTTGCGAAACGACTAACGAGAAAACTTTATGAACAATAACTTGAAACATTTTTATAATGGGCTTGCAAAACAAATGCCCACATGTCAATTTTGGTATGCTTCAATGTACATATATTCATGGCTTTCAAGGGGTTGCTACTATATTGCGTTAATCGTGATACGCATGTTTCAATGCGTGATTTTTATTTTTATGCAAGAAAAATTAATAAGGTATAAGGAATTCAAAATTTGATAACTAATTACGATTCCATGATACCCGATTTAGCCTGCATAGTACAAATAGTGTTCTTTATTCGGATATTTTTGGAATTTGGTTTTTGTGTTCATCAAATGATAACAAAGAAAAAAGATTGGTATCTAATATTGTGCTCGGTTTAACAAACGTGATAAAGTTTATTGTTGAATATAAAGAAATTCAATGATCCATAAGATTATAGCGAAAGTAGTTTTCATAAACCAGAGGTCTAATACGATCCCACTTTATTCAATAATCAATAAAAAATCAGTATATCGAAGGGCATATGATGGAGGTAAAGAAACAGAAACCAATATCGAACACATGCATATTTGTTATAATTTGTTTGAAAATTATTTTTACCATATTTTATTTATTTATTTATTTATTGTAATAAAATAAATTTTTGAATCAATCGATTTCTTATTTTCATATAATTTATTTAAGGTTATAACAAAACATCAATTTATGGTTTAATTTAAATTTAATTTAATTTATATATGTATACAGTAAATTGGTTTATTAATTTAATTAGATAATATTATATTTTATATCAAAAAATGGCTGGTTAAATTATTAAAAAGTATGTAAAAATATTATTGACAAGTTTACAAAATTTTTAGACTTGTTTACATTTTAAAATCAAAATAAACCTTTAAAAATTATATATATAATCTTGAGAAAGATATATTCAAAAATTTTTTATCAGTATTCATAAATTCAGGGTAAATTATAATTAATTTAATAAATTTAATTTAGAATTCAAAATTATACCTTGGTTGGAATAATTAAATAAAAGAAAGATTTGTTTTAAATTCATAAATCAATATAATAAATCAAAAAATTAAAATATTTACTTGTAGATTTTTAAGTAAATAAATATAAATTAATGTTTTTTAAAAAATATCAAAAAATAATCAAATAAATATGGGTTTTATTAATTATTTTAATTAAGAATTTAATTAAAATTCAAATTAATAAAATTTAAAAAATATTAAAATTTCATAAATAAAACTTAAAATAAATAAAAAACCATAAACTATATACAAAAAACTTTCTTTATAAAATAAATATACTTTTCTTTAAATTGATATTTAAGAAAAAATATTTATTTAACAATAATTTATATCAATCAAAATTAAAGAAAAGTTGGTCAAAATTAAATCAAAATTAATATAAATTAACTGAAATTAATGTAAGTTGATCAGAATTGATATAAGTTGACTATGATTAATATAAGTTAATTAAAATTAATATAAGCTGATCAATATTAATATAACTTAATCAAAATTATTATAATATTATCAAAATTAATAAAAGTTAATTAAAAGTGAATAAAATTTAAGAAAATTTGTGAAATTAAAATAAAATTAAACAAAATTTAAGCATAATTAATTTATTAAATAATATTAAGTATTAATTAAATAAAGTAAAATTAGATTAAGAAAATTAAGACATAAAATAAATAAATTTAACTTGAATTAATTATATATATATATATTATTTAAATTATTAAATTTTTTTAATTTATAATTATATTATTTTAATATATCTTTATTGAAATATTAACTAAATATTTTCAATATTATATTAATTATTATATAATAATTAATTTATAATTGTATCAATTCTTTTTTATAGATTTCTAATTATTAGATTCAAAAAAGTATTTCTTTGAAATTTTATATTTTAAAAATAATAAAATTTTAAAATATTTGCTTTACTTAATAATAATCAGATTTTATTTTATTATTTATTTTTTTTCTATAAAAACTCTTTATCTAAAAAGTCAATGGCAAAAAAGCTTTTTAAAAAAAAAGAAATTAGATAAAAAAATATTTTTCTTTTCTTTTTTATAGAGATTTCAAAATTTAAGAAAAAGTATAAATTAATAACTTTATGTTATCCTTATAAATTAATATTTCTATTACTAATAAAAATAACTTTTTTCTTAATATATAATAGTTTTTTTTTAAGAATTTATTGTACCTTAAGTTAATTTTGAATTTTCTGTTATATCAAATTTTAAATACGGTTGCTTCCAAAAGTTTAAGTCCACTTACTATGTTTTTATTATAAATTTTAACTTTGACAATTTTTAAATCATTAACTATACAGTCAAAAATTATAAAATTTATATATATTATATTTTAATACTTATTCTATTTCTTGCATTTTTTTTTTTAAAAAAACTTTTTCCCATAAATCACTGATCACAAAATTTTTTTGAAATAAAGTTAATAAAAATTCCACCAAAAACTAAACAAAAAGAACCTGGAGGGAATCTTTCCAGGACTCTCGACAACACAGAAGAATACTCCATTCTTGATGTAGTCCTTATCGATAATAAAACACCAAAAGTTTCTATCATATACAAACAAAATAAAACCTCTCTTGTTTATGTAACAAAATCAGCAGCCTCTATCCAAGTTCCTCCCTTACAATATTTCTCTTCTTCGTGGTTAATCTCCACATACAAACCTGATAATGACAATTCAAATTAACCACTAATTATTATTCAAGTCCTCTTTGAACCAAAACACTCTTCCAAATTTTCCACTCCTGGTCTAAAAGTGACCACCGAAATTCTTACAAACTTTGCAACACCCATCTTAAACCAATTTATAGAACACCAAACAAACTTCAATCTATCCAAAAATGATAGAGAAATTGCTATCAGAAAAGTTGTCAAAGAAACCATGAATTACAAACTCTATTGCTCTTGGAATCAAATCTTTATTTCTAATGATAAATCCTCTAACACTTTTTCCCTCAAAAAAAGGGAAACCCCTATACCCCCTTCCAACACTCCTGTTGCACAAGAAGATTATTTCATAGAAACAGACCAACCAAATAAGGAGATCTACAACACTCCTAATACTACTCAATGCACCCCTGAACCTAATCATCATCATACTGCTTCTTCAGTAGGCAATAAATCTAAAAATAGTTCAAATGAAAACATCAATCAAAATCAATCTCCCTTAGATCAGAACACAGCCACAGATATAGAAATCAACCTCAGTAATAAACAATTAATTTCTCTCTCATGGGCCAACGAAACTGAAAAGACATTTGGCTTTGAAGACATTAAAAATGCAAGTCCTCCAGATTATCAATCCTCCATTACTGAAACAGCAGCAATCATTAATGAAACCAATCTCTCACCAAAATCCTTGGTGGAGATGTTCATAAAAACAGAAACCTTTCTCATATCCTACCTCCAAAGGCCTTATCAGCAGTCCTTACAAAAATCTTATACAAAGACAGAGTGTTCTTCAAATATTTTGCCAAGTCTGAAGACCTAAAAGGAACTCATAAAAGAGAATATAAAAAGCTAGTAAAAGACTTTCAGACTAATTATTTCAATAAACATAACATTGGCTATATCAACAGGACCACAAAAAAAAAAAATTAGCATCGTTATCAACAAATCCATCTTTGCCACGTATCTTCGAACTTCAGACCTCCACACTCTTCGACACTGACAAATTGCCCAGATCCTAGAATATGGTTTCAATTACTTTATTGATCCTTCCAAAGAAAAGATAGATTATAAAGAACTCCTGAAGTATTTGGAAGAACTTATTAAGAATGTTCTCCCAGAGCTCCCTAAACATCCCAATGAAATCCTCTCCAGAGTTAAAATCAAATTGCCCATATCCTATCACTAGATACCCCCTCTATGACAGCTCCAACGGCTCGAGCATTGAGATGCTTCTATAACTTTGATCTTTTACCTGAAAGCTTCTTCAAAAAACTACCAAACCTCCCAACCAACCCTTAGAACCTTCCCCCTGAATTCAAATCTATCTTTCCCATCACAGAACGGGCACAACTCCATGTCCTCAGACAACTAGTCAATCAACTACGAGAAAAGTTTTACATTTCCAACAAACTTCCAGATGAATATTTCGACC